TCTAGCAATATTTAAGGTACATTAATTTGTAATTTCCATAAAATCTTGAGATTTACTTTTCTGTTAATGATATGATAACTGTTTAACCTTTTTTGGATTTTTTTTAATTTCCTCAACTTTTACAGTTTATTGATATTTAATTAAATTAAGAATATTCTCAGGGAAAATTTAATATTTACAAATAAAGATCATCCTTGATCATCAATCTTTCATGTTAAATATTTTAATTATTCATATTTTTATCACTTATTTTGCTTTTACAGTTTATTAAAAAAGCTTTGTATGACAGGATATTTTGTTAAAAGTACTTTAACTATATGTCATTGGTATCATTGTATATAAATCCAAAAATTGTTTTTAAGTTTAGTTAATCCTTTTATAAACTTTGCACGAATTTACTTAAATTGGAAAAATTAATGTCTTTTTAAGGAGTATAAAAAGCCTTAATCCTTAATGGTTGGGATATGATATTTAAAACATTATTGTATACTCGAAACATTTAAACTAAAAATTACATAGACATTGCACAAATTATAATAGTAAGCATCATTCTTACCCTTTATTTTTTGTTATTCCTAAATTGTTTCAAAGGGAAATAAGAATTCTCAAAAATGAATGGGTAGTAAAAGTTTGAAATAGTTAGTGTTATTAGATAATTTTTCTTTTTATTATTCTTGATCTATGTTTAAGATTCCCAGATAATTTAATTAGGATCACTACTTTTGACGATAATATTTTAGATTACATTCCTATTTAATTATCGTTGCATATTTAATAAACAAAATTATATTGTTTAGATGGTGGTTGAGATATCTGTATTGACTTTTATCTTTAGTTCATTCTTATACATTTAAGAGTGTAACGAATATTTTAATGAAGAGAAAAAAATTATATTGGGATGGATTCAAGCAATTATACTATCTAAAGGAATAATTATAGAACTAATTATGATCTGCTATAATTTATTATAAAAATTGATATCGAATTGTAGAAGATAGCCATAAATAGTGAAAAATCCTTTATATCCAGTACAACCATGAATATTATTTCACATTAAAGGGAAAAAATTATAAAATATCAAATATATTTTTTTATAAATATTTTTAGATATATTAAGATATTAAGGTGCCAATTTTTATAAGAAAAATTTAGCTTTAAGATAATGATAATGAATTTCACGATAATTAGTTTTCTCTTTACAGGAATCTTTTAGAGACTCAAATTAATAACAAAAAAGATTAATTTAAAGGTTTGGTTCAGCTAAAATAATTAATTTTTAAATCTATGGTTAAAATACAGCTAGAATATTTTAACAACTTACCTCGCCTAGACTAATTATTTAGTTGTATCTTGTTTCTACTTGAGAGTGAGATTTGAGGTATACTAATTCTCTAATTGGAGCATTCTTTGTTAATGGCAATGTAAGGGATATCTTGTAATTATCTTTAGAAATTGAATTTATCTCTGGTTGTATTGACAATCTCATCAGTTCCAAAACATTTATTTCACATCAATAGACTTGTATTAAGTTAGGCATTTATGATTTGTATTTTTTAGGTTAGGTTGCTCTACTATTAAGTTGAAATGCATTTAGTCTTTATGCATTTTGAGATTAAAGTCATAAATATAAATCTAAGTAAATTATTTGTGAATGATTTATTAGATTAGCTATTATAAATTACTTCCTCTTTTGCACAAAAAGATTAAGATGAGTTGAAAGATAGTGATCCATATAAAACTAATATTTGTAAGTTTGATGGGTTCTCAAGGATTTTAGCTATGAGAAATGAAATATCCCTCTAACTTAGGCTTAAATTACATTTAATGCTAGATTTATCTAAAAAATATATATTTAAATAAATGATAATATATCATATAGATCGACAGTTTGATGAACTTTTGTAAATTAAAATGACTTAAAATTACAAAGGAAGTTATGAATATTTCAGTTAGTAACTAAATTATTCATTTTTTATCAAGAATAATCTTCCAAATCAATTTGTTAGATTTTGTGGTTTGAAAAGAAGTAAAAGTTGATACTAAAGTAATTGCATATACTAAGAATTGGAATTTCAGTTCTATCAACACCTTCCAAAATTTTTATGATATTCTTCTGTTGATAAAACTTATGTATAATTAATCAAATTATTTCCATATAACTTGACTTTGAATATTTTAATATATGACTTTCCATAATCCTTGCTTCGACTCATTCTTATA